ATCACTGACAACATGGGAGAAGACACAGGAGAGGCAAGCAGAGGATTCAGTCCTTAATCCATTTTATTAGTGAAAAAACAAACGTGTCTTTACTATTGCAAAAACTTTTTAATTTTTTTTTATTTGTGCTGCTGGGGATGGAACCCAGGGTCTTACTCATGCTAGGCAAGGCCTCTACCTCTGAGCTATGCCCTTAGCCCCAAAGCAATCTCTTTTTTGAAAAAAAAAATTGACACATAATAATTGTATATATTTAAGGGATATGGTGCAGGCTTCTAGTTGGAAGGAAAGAAACTCCATGACTGGCTAGGTTTTCTATTTTCTTATTGGTGGTTGGTGTTTCACCTGTATCCACATACCAAGCTTCTCAAGGAACACAAGTGGATCCAATCTTATGGCAAGTGGGTCCAGAACCTTCCGGTCTTTTTTGCTTTTGCAGGGAAGAGCTTACCTAAATAAGGCTTTTGATAAGCTCTCTTGACCCCTGTGTTTCCTGGGCAGGGTTATTTGGATAGTGCTATTATTTCAACTTTCTTCTATTTCTGCCATAAATCACAGCCACCTGACATTTTGTTCCTGACTTTTAAAACAAACAGGTCTCCTTTCTTTCTTTAGCCAGGTCAGAAGAAACGCCTATGGGCTAATCTCTGAGAGTGTTTTTCTTGGTCTGACGCCTGGGAGAGAGAGCAGAGTAGGTATCTCAAAAGCAGCTAGACCAAGAGATTGTCATTTGAAAGGGAGCCAGACTGGTGTGCAAAAAGAATCACCCTTTTGTCTCCCCTCCATCGGGAAAGCCGAGGTGTTCATCTAAGGTTAATGGCTGTGGATCATACAGGGGGTGGGGTAACTGGTGAGCTCACCCCTCTTTTCTGCTTCCATTTGTTTGTAATGTCTGACCACTTAGATTTATGTTAGTTTCATACCCTTTTCTTCCCACTGAAGAAATCACTCATACCTAGCAAACTGACAGAGAGCTTTGAACAAAGCACTGGTCAGAAGTTTGATATCCAATGAGCTCATGTAAACTCACGTAAGTGGAATGGAAATGTGTATTGCTGAACAACTTGAGATGCTGAGAAAAAAATGAATAAATGAAGGATACAATACATCAAATTGAATGTTCCTGGTAGTGTCATTGTGGGGGTTTTAGGCCCTCATTACTATGATCCATCAGAAACCCACCTAGCTGCTGTCCATGCCCTTCAAGGTGGGAAATGGCTAGCATGAGTTAATAATAACTACCTCGAACCAACAAAGAATCACCAACAAAGCCAACTGATGCACACTCTTTTTTGGAGGGGAGGAGGCTTTTAGCTCTCTCCATTGTTATCATGTTCACTAATTTAAACATTTCCATAAAGAAAGTATTTATGAGATGAGAGGGGATGCTGTCTTTTGATTTGACCTGATAAACTCAGGCCTTTGCCAAGTTATTATTTCAGGTTCTGCTTAGCCGGTTTCCCTGCTCACATATTTTATGGATCCCAGGAGATGAAGGCTACATTTCAAATGCTGAAGCTAAATCACTCCTTGAATTACTTTGGGACAATGACCCTAGGCAGTAATTCAAACCCTGGCTGAAATATGCGTAGTCCTTTCACATGTTCAAAACTAAAGACTACCTTATCCTACAGCAAAGTCTTGCAAACATTCTATTTGACTTATGGTTCAAGATATAAATCCCTAGGAACATGGAGAGATGATAGAAATTCTCACTCTTATGGTTATAAAAAGGTAGAGAGTCATTGTTATAACAAAAGGAGATTATAACTCCATTTGTACTCAGAAGCTGACCAGGACAATTTTTAAGAAAATTCAATTTTAAAGCCTATAATCTGTATGTCCATATGCATTTTCAGACATTAGTTACCTAGACTCACTTTTCCCCCCATCATATACTGCTTCTTTAAATGTTATTACTGAGTTTCACTGTCAGATTCCTATAGCAGACCTGAATCCTTGCAAGGAAAAAGGAAATGTCAACAGAGTTCTCAGCCGAGCTCGGCTGAACCACAGATTCACTTTTTAGGACATTTCTCTAAAAATTTTCACAAAACACCATCGCCTTTCTCCAAAGGACAGGTTTTATATGATACTGATCCAAAAGAGTCATCACATTTTTGTTTTAGTGTATGCACATATACATAGGGAGATGGAAGAAAATAATACTGGTCAAGAAGTCTGGAATACTCTACATTGAGTCAGGACAGACATTAGCTACACTCCCCCAATTCTTACAAAGCCCACTCCATTAGCCATGCCAAGTGAATCCAGAATGCCAAGCAGAGTTAGGTGGTTCTTTCTGTTCTCCCCTTCCCTTTACAATGTGTTTTTTCTACAGCCACTGTTGCAAGTGTGTGCCCATGCAGTGGAACCAAGAACTCATTTTAGAGGATGGCTGGTCTCACTTGTTTGCAGAGTTAGCCAGAACGGGACATAGCCTCAAACAACACAGTCACTGGGTATAGCATTAGCCTAGGGGTTGGCCTGAGTGGGTTCTGCCAGCTCAGCCCAAGGCCCTATGTTGCTGACCAAGTTTGACCTACTAGTCTGAGAGTCACTTACTGTGTGGAGAGTGACAAGTCCCATGTGACATTTCCACTGAGCTGACAGGCAGCATATGCAACCTCGTCCAGCTCACTCGGCTCCCCGGAGAGGGGTTGTATGTAACACTCTGACCTCAATTTAAAGATAGGACAAATGACACAGCCCCTGAGTTGGCCCCAGCTAAATATTATACGTCACACCTCTTGACAGCTGCCTTGCCTAGAAACCCAATTTAGTCATTCGGCTGTAAGAAAGCTTAATCACACAGAGAATAAATAGAAAGGCATCCCTTCTAGAAATGTTTTCTTCCGTGTGCATACCTCATTATTGCAAAGATTGTTTAGTCTACTTCTCAAAAAAGGAGGAAATGCAACTTCAATCCCAGAAAATATGACTGTACTTTAATGTAAAAAAATTAAATAAAAACCCTCAAACCCTATAAACACAAACAAGACTTCAAGTTCAAGAAAGGGCTAAGTGTTTGACAAAAAATTGAATTTTAACTCAATCTTTCCAAATGGGTTTAGTTCCCAAATGAAACCAAATAGTGAAGATGCCTAATGAACATTGAATTCCAACTTTCCTTCCTTTTCTGTATTTCAGCTACCATCTTTTTGGGTGTGCAATAAAGATATACACCTGGTTCGTTGTGTTAATTGGAAGCCAATTTCCTGCTGTCGTTCCTGCAGGTCAGTCCTTGAAAAATTCAACTGGCTGGGTGCTCTAGTATTTAAAAATGTTTTGTTCACCTTAGGAAGTAAGGAATGGTAACTTTCTGAGCCTCCCCTGTTAAATGCATCTCGGTATTCTGGTCATCTCATAAAGGAGGATTAGTTTTCTTAATCAATGCAATTTATTCTGTTTTTTCAATGTTCGTGAGTTGTGAATGTTCCAGTAATAGTTAGAAAGAAAAGCGCATTATTGTTTTATTTTCTAGGTTACTACAACCATCCCCAGAGGAACGGTGCCATTTTAACCAGTACTAGTTACCCAGAAGTATTTACCTTAAGCCATCCTAAAATCTGGTTTGGCAACCAAAGCAAAGAGGAGAGAGAGAACATGCCTCCAAGCCTGCCATTTGTTGAGGGCTCCCATATTCTTACACACATACTTGGAGGTACCCAGGTCTCATGCCAATTCAGGATGTGGGACTGCAGTTGGGGAGTCAGTGACTGAGCCTTCCCTTCCTTGTCTTAGAATTCAGGGCACTATATTTAGGAAGGCCCCTGTGTCTAAAACTGATTGGATAAAAAATGGAAATCATGGGCTAGGGATATAGCTCAGTGGGTAGAGTGCTTGCCTCACATGCACAAGGTCCTGGGTTCACTCCCTAGCACCACCACAACAAAAAAGGGAAATCATGTCAATATTTCAAATACAGGTATTTAATTGAAATGTTTGGAATTTTTAAAAATTAAACTGAATGGCAAGGTCATGCTTCAGCTCCCATACAGGGGAGGCTGATCCTGACAACTGTGGGGGCCTCAGGGTGTGACTCCAGAGTTCTGAAAAGATCTGGTGGATATGTCCACTGTGTCTGCCTCCAACATTAGTATGCCCTTCAGCACCTTCCGAGGACAGGTGGGGTCTCCCTCACTACTCTCCTTCACTGTCCTATACTACCCCTCTGGGTTTGTGAATTCTTTGATTCTACAGCTACAGAGTGAGAGGTGTGTTCCTTCACTGTACAGATGTCTTATAAACTCATTTGTTTCCCAACAGTGAGTCTAAAATGTGCTCTGAACTCTCAAGGAAACGAGCATTGATTCTAACTGAAGCAGTTGCCAAAGGCTTGGTGGTTGGAAATTGGGAAATGAGTGAGTACTCAGAGGCTGACCAGGGCAAGGGGTTTAACCATCGTTGTGATCTGTGGGATTCCCCCTTGTCAGGAAGAGGCAGATAGAAATCTAAGATATATTCAGAATAGCTATGTTTTTGTTTAGTTATAAAACAAAAAGTCAGAACTGCAGTGGAACAAGGAAAATTACTGATTAGGGTCAGCTGCCCACCAGCTGCCATGCACCAAGCCCAGTGGCCAGCTATGCAGAAGGTCTGAGGATAAGGGACACCTGGACAGCAATAGTAGGCTCAGTCAGCTGGCACCTGGCAAGGGAGTAGAAGAGTCCATGGTACACTGACTGGTTCGTCCTGATGGGAATGTGGCTAAGAGGTTCAAATAAAGGTTCTTAAATTTACCTCCCAGATATAGACATTTTATGATTTCATTGCAATCAAGAAGTTTATGCCAACTTCATACAAACAAAATAGGAATGAAAGCGGGTGAGCAACCTGCCTAAAGTGAAGTTTGCATGCTGCCCACGTTGGATGCAATCTGTGAGTTAACCAAACAGGAAGTAAGGGCGCCCTGTTCCAATTACCAAGATGGATCTCTCACGCAACATAAAACTCCCTTCCCTTCCTCCCAGAACAACTAGTACTGATGTTTAAATATTGGTGGAACACAATGTTTTTAATTTCACACCTCACGGAGCACAGTTGAATGCTTTATAACAACGTAAACAGAAGTTAGGCCAAGCACTGCAGACAAATCGGGAGGGAAAAAAATGGCTTCCCCTGCGGTCTATACTCCAGGTTTGCGAGGGAATAAACAACTAACAAACTGGTTGGCTAAGGCCACAGAAATGTGTTTTCTGGTGATTTGGCTGCTGACGCCAGTCTCTTCTAACAAAGATGGGTTAACACTGGTGCAACAAACCACATCTCTTCCCTCGGATCAATCAGGAGAAGTTGTGTCTTATTTCTTCCTCTGTTTCCTTTGGGTGGTATCATAAGAACGGACTATTTCTTCCTGAGTAACAGCTCCATGTTCTTCTTGAGAAAAGGCGTACCCATCTGAAAGAGAAGCATGCAGGAGGAAGTGGTTAGCAGGAGAACTGAGAGTGCTCCGGGTTTAAGAGAAGCTGCTTTTCTGAGGATTCCAGCTGACCTGGAATGCAACCTGTGGCTTCTTTAGCCTTGAATGGAGAGGACTGAGAAACCTGTGATTGTGAAGGGGACTCTGGGCAAGTAGACCTGTGGCAGCACAGTGCTGCTGATGCTGGGGTAGGACTGCCTCTTAGCAGGTAGAGTCTTAAGTCTGTATTCTGCTGCTATAATAAAGATACCACAGACTGGGTAAATTATAAACAATAGGAATTTATTGTTTATAATTCATGGTTCTGGAGGCTGGGAAGTCTAAGATGGACAGGATGCAGCTGGTGAGGGTCATCTTATTGTGTTAGAATGTGACTGAATGGCAACCCACTCCTGAGATAACCAATAACCAAGTCCCTTGATGACAATATTAATCCATTCACGAGAGCAGAGTCCTCAAGATCTAATCACCTCGTAAAGGTCCATCTCTCTGTCTCTCTCTCTCTCTCTCTCTCTCTCTCTCTCTCTCTCTCCTCTCTCGAGATAGCATCCTGCTATGTTGCCTTGAATAGCAGGGCTCAAGTGATCCCCCTGCCTTAGCCTTCCAAGAAGCTGGGATGACCAGTACATGTGACCATGCCTGGTAGGTCCCATCTCTTAATGCCATCACAATGGTAATTAAATCCCAACACAAGTTTTGGGAGGGATATATAGTAGATGAACCAGAGCAGGTGGCTTTCCTATTCCTAAGGTGCTTCAGCTAAGCTCAGTGTGGGTAGCATAAACAGTGGGTCACTCTCCCACTACCCATCAAGAGAGATGCCTCCATCTACCTAATGCTGCAGGCTGCCTACTAATTTATGAAGCTGTAAACATATCAGGAAAAACACACACTACACTATTAGGGAACTGTACTGATTTGTACTGGTAATAAGTAACTGATATGGGTTTATTTCTATGTAAATAAAATGAAAGAACCCATGATAAAATCAAGAGGAATTTAGTGATCGGACTCATCACGGACTCATCATATGGCCACACTATGACTCGTTCTCACAATCAGTTTACATGATAATAGTAAATAATCACCAACACTTTTTAAGTGCTATGTGTTCAAGACATCGATCCACATACCATTTGCATAATGCTCATTTTATCATCCCAGAAACCCTAAGAAATATGTAATTCTATTCTTACCACTTTTCAGCTGGGAAAGAGATTTTTGTGACCTGTCCAAAGTCACAGACCAGGTGAGTGGCAGAATAGGGAAGCAGGCCTGAGCAGTGTGCTGTGGGCTATACCCTCTTGCATCTACTGCTCTGAAAGAGGCTTGGTGTTCAGAAGCTTAAGTGGGTGTTTTGCTTTCAACTGGTCCTTCTCACAGAAAGTATCTGATACGATTCCTTCTGCATTAGCAACCATTCTGTGGCAGAGGGACAGAAATGTCCCTCAGCTCACATAGATATCCTGACAAAAACAACAACAAAAAACACCATAGTCCAGAGCCTAACAATCATGAGAAACATCCATGCATGTCTACAATGGAAATGTTCACTTATTTTCATACTCCAAAAGGAGAAAAAGAAATCAGCATCAGCTCCTGGGTTGTTTGTTAATTTCCTCAGATGTTTAGCTCATAGAAGAAAGTTGCCAGGGCAAAAAGACATACCATAGACCATAGCAATGTTTCAGAGACTGTGTGAGGATGGAAAGGACAAGGAGGAAGGAGAAAATGCCCTTTTTTTTTTTTTTTTTTGTGGTGCTGGGGATTGAACCCAGGGCCTTGTGCATTCGAGGCAAGCACTCTACCAACTGAGCTATAACCCCAGCCCTGCTGCCCCTGCAAGTTGTTTTTTTACTTCTCTGTGTGCCCATAAATCCAGAGTCCTTGTCCTTGGTCTGGCCTCCTAACTCTTCAGATGAGCATGCCTGCCAGTAGCGCAAAGGCTCCCAGGTGGGCCACCCAGGAGGCAAAGCGCTGGACTGCAGAGGTGGCCTGGGGATCAACTGAGGACACAGAAGCTAAGTAGCAGGGAGCAGGGCCTGGACCAGGAGTCTACAGGAGGAAGAAAAAAGGAGAATGAGTGGGCCACAGTGAAGGCAGACCCAGCCGAGTGAGGGTGAACGCAAAGGACAGAAAGGAATCCTCCACAGGGGACTTTTGTCTACTTGTTTACCACTATTTCTAACAAAGCAACACACACAAAAAAATCCCACAAGCAGCCCTCAGATCAGTGTGAGCCCCTACATAGCTGGGCACAAGGCAGCATCTCTCTGAATTGGAAGCCAGCTGGAGCGGGAGGCTCTGCTTGTTCCATCCAGAGTCCACAGCCCTTGAACTTGCTTAGGGCACTCTCCACACAGGTGTCTTTGCTTTCTCATGGCTGGAGAGTCTTTGCCTGATCTGCTTCTGAGCCCTGATGAGGAAATGCTGCCTCTCAGGCCCATTCCCTTAAGAGCTTTTGGATTTTCACCAAGTCGAGAGTTCATCAGGAGGAAGAAACTGCCACTGCTGGCTTGGGAGGGGCTGCTCCCCACTTCCCGCCTCCCTCTGGCACAAGCCTGTCCTAAACCCTGCACAAGGTGTTCTTTGTGAAGCATTCTTGGTGTAGTCCAAGAGGACACGCCTTTCCCTGGGATGTTTCAAAGCAAAATCTAGCCAGTAACAGTGTCCCCTGGTAACAAGACTGTGTACTGTGGTCTACTTGGCAACTTCCATTCTCTGGTCTTTTAAAAATCAACATTTCTAATAAACGGCTGATGTGTCCCTGAGGGGCCATGTGGCAGCTGTCCCTGGATGGGATGTGCCATGGAATGGCAATTCGGCCTCCAAATGTGGCTGTAGCCATGCTCCACTGCCAGGAGAGGCTCTCAGTCTGACCAAGGTTGTTCCGACCAACAACCGGTCTCCTCCTGTAATTCTAAACGCTCTTTATAAACACTTCCGTGGCAGGCAGGGGACTACTGAGATCCCCACCCTGATGACAATTTGTCCACTCTGCTTTCATCTTGGACCCAGGAAGCCCAAGAAGCTGATGTATTGGGTCCTACGAGGTGTCTAGTCCTTGCTTGGCAATCTTGGACTTTTTAGGTTTTCTGGTCTTGGTTTACTTTTCTGTAAAATAAATGACGTAGGCCAATGAAGGCTACGTTCTCTCACAGCTCCAGCCTTCTGTATGAATTCCAGGATACTTCCTTGGATAACTATACCCAGGAGGCAGAATCTTCTCCCTGTTCAGTACTGATTTATACTCTCCATCAGTGGGGAGGCTTCTCGATCCAAGTCAGAGAGGAAAGGAGTCTCTCTCAACAGTGGGTCCAGTTAGAATAATTGCTTCCTATTCTTTTTTGGGGGGGGGGTCTGTCTGTATTTACTTTCTTTTATGTGTGGTGGTGGGGGGCTGGGGAGGGTAGGAAATGAAGGGTAATTGTTGAGACTTTAAAAATAAATACTGGGGTTGTCCTTTTGGGAAAGGTAGTTGTCTTTTGAAATTCTCTACTCCTTGTGTATGGAAGGAGCAAAAGCTTTGTCATTCATTTATCCTGTTTTTCATTCACATCAGGTCTTGCCTAGTGGGCACCCAACTCTGGGAGTGTCTTTGGCTCATGGCTGTTATGACTTGCTCAACTGACATTAGTACCACAGCCATGTGGGCCTGCTGTGGGTTGGCTGGGGGCTGACTTAGCCACACTGGGGTGGGAAGGATTTCTAGATTTCCCTCCAAAGAAGCAGGCCGATAGAAATGCCTTATCCTGCTGTAGAACTCTTCTCCCGGGGTGAGCAGAGCACCCAAGGGTCACTGTCAAATGCTCCTCCCCTCAGTTCTCATTGGCTGTGATCTAACATCATGTTCCAGAATGCTGTGGACTGAAACTTTCTTATTATTAATCTCAACTAAGACTTAAAGAGAACTCAGAAATTCAAGAATGAATGAAGGATCAGGCAGAATCCTGCGGGCTAGTGATCCCAGTGACTTGGGAGGCTGAGGTAGGAGAATGGCAAGTTCGAGGCCAGCCTGGGCAACTTATATTTAAAGAGAAATAAAATAAAATATAGGAAAAGAGCTGGGAATGTAGATCAATGGTAGAGCACTGGCCTGGTGTGCCTGAGACCATGGCTTCCATTCCCAGCACGGAGGGCATGGGGTAGGCGGGTAGAGGGAGGATGGTCTGACAGTTTAACCCTAGGAAGTGGGTGGATCCTCCCTGGCTCAGGTAAAATATTCTCCTTTTAGAAACTGGGACTGGTGAATGTTGAAGTTGTAGTGGGCGAAGTTTTAATGGAACAACAGGCCCTAGAAGTACTCACCTGCCTCCACCTGCCCAGCCTGTACCTATAGCCTGACAAAGATGCATGATCTGCTCAGCAGGTTCTGCCTAATGAGTATGTAACTAGGAGCTCAGAGGAAGCCCTCAGCAATTTGCATTTCCCACTTTCATTTGTCTTTCAGGAAGGCCTGACAGCTGGAAAATCCTTAAGTGGCCCTGGAGGAAGCACTCCACTCACCCAACTTGTGAACTTTCCCTAGCTGGCTTCCTAATTCATCTATTCCTAAATATCAACCTCCACCAGAATTCGGGGAGGGGGTGGGGAGGTGGAAGAAAATGGGGAGAGGGTAAATTTCTTAGTTGTTTGTCTTGTCCAGGTAGAACATTTGATGAAGTTCATAAAAATCATGTTTTTTTTTCTTTTCATTTATTTTGGAATAAGATTTCCCTTAAGTAGCATTCCTTGAAATCAGAGATCTGATAGCTCCTTAATGAAAGTAGCAGTTTCCTGTCTAGACAAAGATTCCTAACAGCCACAGAAGTGGGAAGACCACAGGGATGATAGACTATGTAGGAAACACTTGATCTCAGTTGTAAATATTGTTCATTGGTGGTTGGAAGGCACTATATTAGTCTGGTTTTTCTTGTTCTTATAATGAAATACCTGATTACTGTGAACATTAGAAAGATAAGAGGTTTATTTTGGCTTATAGTTCTAGAGGTGCAAGGTTGAGGGGCCTCATCTGGTGATGGCCTTCTTGCTAGCAGAGTTTCAAGGTAGCAGACAGCATCACATGCCAGGAGATAGGAAGCACATGGGGGTCTCTTCTCATCTGTCTTCTTGTAAAGTCATTGGGATTCAGTCATGGCAGCTCCACCCTGAGGACCTTATCTAATCCCAATCAACTCCCAAAGACTCCATGTCTAAATACACAGTTGGATTAAATTTCTATCATCGTAATACCTCACAGCGGGGATTAAATTTCAACACATAAACCTTGGGGGATACGTTCAAACCAGACCACATGGTCAAATCCAGATCACAGCAGAAACTAAAAATACTACCAAGTTAAAGTCTTCCAGTTTCCTAAGGAGACTGAGGCCGAAACAGCAGATGGACACATGCAGGGGGACAGTCCATTGTTCTGACTACTCAATGGTCCTCTCTCAGTATTAATGACAGAGTGTCTTAAATTGTCTAAGAGGCCTTCGTATTAGTCATCAAGTATTTTTAAAATGTGGTATGATACTAGAAGCTGACTTATTTCTTATATTTGTTCAGTAGATTTTTTTTTTTGCCTTCAAAATGTTGACTTAAGAAAATCATTTAGACTGTTTAAGGCTCTCCGCTTGGTCTTTGATTGCAACACACAAACACACACACACATTGTATATGTCCTTTCTTGCTTTTCTGCACAGAACCCAGGTTTTTGTGCTTGCTAGGTAACCATCCAACCATACCCCTAATCCTGCAAATGTTTTTTTTCCCTATGGTTACTTTGAGACATTTACTAGAGGAGCAGAGTGGCTCTGTAGCATGAACACTGTGGTTTAGGGAATTTGTATGTGTTTTCTCTGTGTATGGCATACAGAAGATACTTCACACTGAGAAGAGGCATAAGGCTGCATGCATATTATTATAATTTTATTTTCTTTCCCAGAGAAGAAATTTAGAGAAATATGTAAGTTGCCCACAGTTTCTCAGCTAATGGCATCAGCATCATCATTGTCATCATTACAGTCATACCTAACTCTCTATAGTCCAGCACAGCACTAGGCATTTATGTATATGATCTCAAACAATCTTCTTGATCACCCAGCCAGGTTTTCCTATTATCCTCATCTTATAGATGCAGAAATTTTTCTTGCTCAAGGTCACAGAAAAATGGAAGAGCAGGGAAAGGAACCCAGATAGCCGAACTCAGTTGGGGTGCACTCCTTGGAAGATCCCATCAAACCTCTGAACTTGACCTCTCTCAGTCAGAGACCAGTGGCTGTGACCTATATCCCACAGGGCCTCACTGGGCCACTACTCTCCTGATTTGAGCTTGCTTTGTGCTCTCAGGGCTGGTGCCTAACCCTTGGCATGGAGGGACATTCATAGACAGGTCAGGCCCCTATATCTCATAGGGATATTCCACATGGAGAAGAGGAGAGAGGGAGTGGATTACTCCAAGGTGGCCATGTGCTGCGCCTCACCTTCCCTTTCCATTGAGAAGGCCTGGGAATCCCTGTGGTCAGGTGGAGTGCAACTGAACCCCACACAAATCCATGGACACCTGGGCTGTTTTCAGTGTTTCACAAGGTGTTCTTTTTTACCAGATGCTTCCTTCTAAACTTTTCAGGGAGGGACAGGAAGCAGGGAGTGGGGTCTGGGATAAAGACATGACCTGTGCTCAATTAGAAGAGAGGGGAGGTGGGCTGGAAAAGGAAGCAGGATCTCTAGAGGCACAGGCTGGTCCGCAGACCCCTGGCGGAAGGCAGCCTGGGCTCTCTCGCTGGCAGCTGAATGGGTGCATTGCTAAAAAGAAGCCGAGGAGCTCTCCTAAGAGGTCCAAAATAAGTTGTGTGTGTGTGTGTGTGTGTGTGTGTGTTGGGGAGGGGGGTCAATCACAGCTCACTCTCTACTCCTCTGGGTCTGGGGGTGATGGGGGGTATGGCAATCTTAGACATGGGTCAGTCTTCATGGGAAAAGAAGAGATTCCTCCCGCCCAATTGTTATCATTACAATTATTACACCAAAAAGCAAAGCAATCCATATTGCTATCAGTGAAGGCAGTAATTGAACACTAATATCACTTCAATTTTTAAAAATTCTCTTTGGAGGCTGACAGAAGGATCTTCACCTTAGCAGGATTTTAGGTTTAAGGTTTTTGTCATTCAGGCAATTGATTGGGTTTGAGGGAATTCCCAACATTCAAGCTTGTATTTGCCTTGGGGCCAAATATGTGCACTTCCAAAGCACACCTTTGGCTGATTAGCACTACTTGGAGTTCCTGCAGCTTGCTGCCCTCCTGGCTCTACCCAGGTCCCCGTTGCCCTGTCTAGGATGACAGCATGTACTCACGTGAGACACATTGCTGGTTCACAGAGCCACCAAGGAAGAGGGTCGGGGGTGTCTTCCTGCCGAGCCTCTTTATCAGGCGGTCACGCTCATTCATTCTGCAGGGAAAGCAAACACAGTCAGGATCCAGGTCAGCTCAACACGTTTCCAAGGGAGTCGGTGAGGTGAATAACTTCAGGCTGTAAGATCAGACAGATTGACTGGGGTGGCAGAAAGCCTCCCACATCAAGGAAAAGGTTCAGTTTCCCAAGCTGCCCGGTTATTTACAGTAGATGCTATCTAGGCATGTTGAGTGCACTGCTCCCTCTTTTAAGTCCCGTTGGCCTCCAGAGCCTCCCTCCTCACTTAGGGGTGCTTACAAGTGCCCTTTTCATTCCAGGCAGAACCTGGAGTGATGTGTTTCCACAGTAAAGTCCTAACGCTTCACCCCCACCTGCACTCACCTTCCCTTTCTGAAGCCCAGGCATCTGCAGGAAGAGAACGCTCCCATGCCACAGGGCTCCAGGCAGAGGCGGCGGCTTCTTGCTGCATAGCCCCAATGCTTAGTTTGAACCACAATGAAAAATCTATATGAGTTTTCTTCTAAAAGTCACGAATTAGGAACTGTCCCTGCCATTCCTGAATATTCCCTCCAAGGTGCCACTGCTGTGAAGAAATATGGAACTTTCCCAGAGATTGGCTATTATTTACAGCAGCCTCAACCCAATACTGTGTTTCACTTTCCACAGTTTCAGGTATGTGGTCAACCACAATGGAAACATTTAAATGGAGAATTCCAGAAATAGACAATTCATAGGTTTCAAATTGGGTACATTCTGAGCACATCATTCATCTCCCTTCCTCTCACCATTTATATTATCTCACATCACAAGAAGGATGAATATAGTGCAGTAAGACTTTGAGAGGGAGCATGTTCATACAGCTTTGATGACAGTTTATAATTTTCACATACTTAGATGTGGTATGCAGTCTCCATATACCAAGGCCTGCAAATGTCAGGAGTGGGTCTGGCTGTGATAACTAGTTCAGAATTGGGGGTGCTGGGGCTAGAATCCAGGCTCTTGTGCATACTAAGCATGTGCTATACCACTGAGCCATACCCTTAGCCCATTACTTCAGACTTTAATGAAATAATAAAATCTCAAATATAAAGTGCCCTTATACTCCTCCCTGGTCCTATTCTTCTTGCTACTATAAGAAAATTTGGAAATAACCTTGCTGTCCATATTTTATTTGCACCATATATATGTATTTATAATTAATAGACAATTATAAAATATCCAAGTGGTATCATTTATATCATACTTGCTTTTTAGCATGCTTTTCTTTGCTCTTTTCTCTCCTTCCTTATTTACTTACTTATTTATTTTTTTGCCTACTGGTTTAGAGGCATTTTATTAATTTGAGTGATCACTCTTAGATTTTAAACTAACCTCCAATATTTGACAAAGTCAAAAGTCAGAAAATAATAACTGGCTTCTGGGATGGTGCAAAGGCTTTAGAACATCCAATTCTGATTTTTCCTGACTGTCTGTGTTCAGCCCTGAAGCTAACTTAATTTGATTGACATTTTTTTCAAGTAATCTGTATTTTCCTCCTGGTCGCTTTTACGACGATTCTGTTTGTCTTTGATGTTCTGTGGTTTCAAACAACACTTAGTGTGACTAGGATAAGTTTCTTTTTATTTCCTGCTAAGCTCCTTGGGTCTTCAGATTTGTTTATCTTCATGAAAAAACTGTGAATTCTGCTTCCATTCTCTATTTTTTCTTGTCCTGAAGTTCCTAACACACACACACACACACACACACACACAAAATGTGTTAGGTATGTGTACATGTACACACATATATAATTTTATTTTCCACATCGGTAAATTTCACCACGCTTTCCATTTCTTTACTCCTTTCAGCTTTTTCTAATCTACTTTGAAATTGTCCAATGTGCTTTAACTTCAATTACTTCATTTTTCATGCCTAAACTATATAAGTACAAAAAGAACAAATTGATAAATTAGACTTAATTAAAATTAAAATCTTCTAAAATGGGTGAAGTGATACACACTTGAAGTCCAGGTGCTTGGGAGACTGAGGTAGGAGGGTCACCTGAGCCCAGGAAATTGAGGTCAGCCTGGGCAATACAGTGAGGCCTGACCCTCAAAGAACAAATAAAAATTGAAATAAAAATAAAAACTTTTGATCTTCAAAGGAGATGATCAACAAAGTGAAAAGATAACCACAAAAGGGGGAAAATGCAGATCTACTGATCATATTTGATTCAGTTCTCATATGCAGAATGTATAAGTAATTGCAACTCAACAGCAAAAAGATAAACAATCCAGAAAGAAAGAATATACAAAAAGATGGATAGACAGAATTAATAAATTGTTAATCCAGTGTAAAAATGGGCAAAAGATTTGAATAAACATTTATGCAAAGAAGATACACAATGGCCAATAAGTACTGAAAAAGATGCTCAACATCATTAATCACTAGGGAAATGAATGTCAAGACCATGGTGACCCAGCATTTCATACTTACTAAGAAGACTATAAAACACAACAAGCAAATAAAACCAAAAAAATTTTTTAAAATTGTTGAATATCTCAAAAACACACAAAAACTTAGGAATAATTCTAATCAAGGATCTACAATGAAAAATATAGAACACCCAAGAAAGAAAGAATACACAAGAAGATGGATAGACAGAATTAATATTGTCAAGATGGCCATACTACTAAAAGTAAAATACAGATTCAATGTAATTCAAAATACCAATGATGTTCTTTAAAGAACTAAGAAAAAAAAAAAAAACAGTTCTAAAATTCATTTGGAAGAGTAAAAGACCCAGAATAGCTGAAGCATTCATAAGCCAAAAAAGCAATGCTGAAGGCATCACAAAGCCTGACTTCAAATTATACAACAGAAGTATAGCAACAAAACCTGCATGGTACTGGCATAAAAGTAGATACATAGACCAATGGAACAGAATAGAAGACACAGAGACAAACCCATACAGATACAGTCATCCGATCCTTGACAAAGGGCCAAAAAAGATACATGGGGGAAAAGACAGCCTTTTGAAACAAATGATGCTGCTAAAACTGATTATCCTTATGTGGAAGGATGAAACCAAACTCTTATCTCTCTCTCACCTGCACAAAAATTAACCCAAAATGGATCAAAGATCTAAGAATTAGACCAGAAATTAGCAACTTCTAGAAGAAAATGTAGGGTCAACATTCCAACATGTAGGCATAGGCACTGACTTTTTCAGTAGGACCCCTAAAGCTTAGAAAATAATGACATGAAATAATAAATCAGACGGCATCAAATTAAAAAGCTTCTGCACAGCAAAGGAAAAAAATAAGAATTTAAAGAGGGAACCTACAGAATGGGAGAAAATCTTTGCTAGCTACTATTTTGATAGAGGATTAATATCCAGAAAATGAAAAGAACTCAAAAAACTGAACACCAACCCCCTCCCAATTAACCCAAGTAATACATGGGCAAATGAACTAAATAGACACTTCTCAAAAGAAGAAATACAAATGTCCAACATATATGTGAAAGAATGTTCAGTATCATTAGCAGTTAAGATTTCATCTCATTCCAGTCAAAATGGCATCCATCAAGAATACAAACAATAATAAATATTGGAGAGGATTTTGAGAAAAAGGAACACTTCTACATTTTTGTTGGGATTATAATTTAGTACAACCACTGTGGAAATCAGTATGCAGGTTCCTCAAAAGACAAGGCATGGAACCACCATATGACCCAGCTATTCCACTCCTCAGGGTATTTATCCTAAAGAATTAAAGTCATCATACTCTAGCAATACATGTATACTTATGTTTACAGCAGCACAATTCACAATAGCCAAACTGTGGAAGCAGCCTAGGTGTCCATAAACAGATGGAAGGTTAAAGAAAATGTGGTATATATACACAATGGAGTTTCATTCAGCCATAAAGAAAAATGAAATAATGCCATTTTCAGAAAAATGGATGGAACTTAACACCATTGTGTTAAGTGAAATAAGCCAATATTGAAGAGTCACATGTTTTATCTCATGTGCTAGAGGGGGAGAAAAGGAAAGGATGGTGTGAGGGGGATCTCATGAAAATTAAAGGAGGATCAGTAGAGCAGAGGAAACAGATGGGGGATGAAGGGGGGCGGGGAAAGGGGAAACACTGGAGAACGACATAGGCCAAATGACATTGTCACATTGTGTGCATGTACAAATGTGTAACAACAAATCCCACCACTATGTACAACTATAATGTGCTAATTAAAAAATATGGGGGAAATTTTTTAAATTGTTGAAAAGGATGTGGAAAAGCTGGAACCCTCTCACATCACTGGGACTATAAAATGGTGCAGCCCTTGCTTCTCAAAAGGTTAAATACAAAATTCTCTATCCAAAAGTTCAGCTCCTGAATAAATCCCCAAAATGATAAAAAGGGACTCTGATGGATACTTTTATACCATATTCATAGCAGCATTATTCACAGGAGTCAAAAAAGTGGAAACAACTCAAATGCCCATCAATTGATCAATGCTGACAATGATGCTATCTTTATAGTTTATCTCTCCAGTGGTGGGAGCTGTGGGAATTAGAGTGCTTTTGAAAACATTTTTTTCTATGCTGGCATAAGCAGATGTGCTAGCTGGGATCTACCATATTCATAGAAGCATTATTCACAGGAGTCAAAAAACATGGAAACAACTCAAATACCCATCAACTGATCAATGTATAAACAAAATATGGCCTACCCATACCATGGAATATTAATCAGTCATATGAAGGAATTCAGTAGATACATACTGCATCATGAATAAGTTTTGAAAGCATTATAACCAACCCCAAAGGCCATACATAATTATATGAAATGTTCAGAAAGGGCAAATATGTAGACGGAAAGCAGACTGGTGGTTGCCAGAGGCTGCAGAGCAGAGAGTAGGTGGAGAGAGAGGGGAGGAACTGCTTAAAGATTATGGAGTTCCCTTTTGGGGAAATGAAAATGTTCTGAAACTAGACAGTAGGGATAGTTTTACAACACTGTGAATGTACTAAATGCCATTGAACTGTACACTTT